TGTATGTATGTATTATTTCTGACCGTCTGAAGGAACATTTACTTAATTTGGTATATGTAATAAATTATCATAGAAAAGCTCATTCCTGATGTTGTTTTGTAGTGGGTTGTACCCACTGTTCAGGTCTGGGGCAAGTGATCTGTGTGGTGCTTGTATCCATATTCAAGTCTCCCTTAACTTGAGTTCTGATGATGACTTTGACCATCAGGTAAGGCTTCTTTCTATTCATTAAATGAGAACTTTATATCTCCATATACACTAGAGCACCTGTGGCATATTGAAACAAAAACTACTTTGAATGGGTAAAATTTCAACTGACAGTAATTGGGGATCAGGGAACTGTGTTTTGTGTGAATAGCTACTTTAAATCCCTTTGGAAATGTTGTGATGTGTTCACAATATCACGTTCCTTTTTGCAAAAGTTGTGCAACAACTGAGAAGTGTTTCAACGAGAAGTATTGAATTGTAACCTGCAACAGTGAAAGACTGATTAAATGAATTTGCACTTTCATTTGGTGCCACGGAGTCTGCAGCAATGTTTTGAGCACTTTCCTGGTTTCTTTTGCCGCAAACTTAAGAAATAAAAAAGCTGCTAAGGACCATAGAATTTTTTTAAATGAAAGATCGCAATAAGATCTATCTGAAAAAGCAAAAAACAATTTTTTGAAAAATGTTAAATTTTGGGGTATACTGATACCTTAAACTATTCCAATAGTGAATTCTGCACTAACAAATTTCAAAATGATTAATTTATGCATTGCTCCATCCTGCTGAGAAATTTACATGAAAACCATTGTTTTGAGAATCGATTATTCAACTACTGTTCATTTGCTGCTGGCTTTATTCTGCATTGGGAAAAAATGAAAAATCATTTAGATTTAATTTGCACTAGCAACCTGAAGATAGTTGTCCATGATACTACTTTCTACCAACTGTGTTATTGCAACATGCACAAATATGAAACAAATTTATTCATGATTTTACAATTTATTGTGTGGAGGTGTTTTACAAAATTTTCAATTACTCGGCGATAGGTAATCCAATCCCAAAACAAAATTGTTGTTTACAGATAATCATACATGAATATTGTCCACAAATTTCTGATCCAGAGCTGTAATATTTAATCTGTGGAAGTTACGCAAAGAAACTGTCTACTGAATTTCAGATCCATAGCTCTATTCTTTCAGCTATGCAAATGATTTATGTAATTACAGAACACGTAATGAGATGGGCATTTCTCAGCTACCAGTATTATTAATCCACACCAAACATTACACCAACCATTATACATGTACAGGGATACTTTTACCTAAATTATCAGTTTGGAATGTCTTCTATTGGAGCTGTATTAATTATTTGATTATTTAAATGCAGTTATTTATTTTTTATCTTGTGTTATTTATCTGTCAGTGTGACTTGGAAGGGCAATTAAGTTCACATGAATCTGTCAGTGGTAGTTCTTCAGTTGAGGATAATGTGCAAGACATCAGATCAATGATTTCCACTCAGGATCACACTTTGCCTGTTAAATCAACACAGCATGAAACAAACAAACAGCTGCCAGTCACTGAAGCTGAGGACAACACATTCATGGCACATGTAATTATTGAACAAGCACTTCACCTTCCTACAGTTCCAGGAGACAATGATGCAAGGTATTCAATCAGATCTATTCAGTACATTTACAGGGAGAAAACTGGTTGAAAAAGTGATGTACATGTTTTGAATTATTATAACATTGGTATTTATTTATTTATTTATTTTACAATTACAATTCAATGGTGTACTTAAAAAATAAAAAATAAAATAAAATCAACAAATAAATTATATTAATTAACATAGGGAAGCCATAAGGGTAATCCGTGCAAGAGTAAAGAAGCTCCATATATATACACGACAGTTCACCTAATGTAATCACAATATAAATATTAAGAACATACATATCATTAAAATTTATTATAGGCTAATCTAAAAATGTATTAAAAATAAAGAAAGAAAGAAAGAAAAGCTCTAAACATCAATAAGCATTCATCAATATGGACAGTTAGTTCCCTACCCCACCCCATCTACAATTGTATGAGAAATATTTAGGTGTAAGCAAATCAGATAATGTATAAAACTATTAAAATTGTGAACTAAAGAAAATGACTGTTATTAAAAGGGCAGCATTGATCCTACTCATAAAAATGAACATAGAGTGAAAAGTTAAGTAAAGAAGTTGGTAAAAATGAGCTAATATCCCAAGAAAATACTTACATAGTTCAAACAAGTTACTGGAGAGGAAAGCATTAACATCAGTATTATATGCTGTACCACCGAATAAACATGCGAAGAAAAGAAAACTGAATTGACAAACTTAGTTTATGGTCAGGTACGTGCGCACTCTGTTTTACTTTTAAAACTTTGAAATTTTATACGTCATAATATTATGTAATAAGAACATTTTAGCCTACTGTTATGTAGTGAACACTTGTTCATGTAGCCATTGCACTGACAATGAAGGATGTACCACCAAAACATGTCTGAAAGACTGGGTTGACCACAACACCTGCCCAACATTGAATTGTGGGGCCAGGACTATCAGAGAATTTTCATTAGATGCATTTATTGTCATTTTCTAATAGTTTCTCAAGTACTTTTGACACCCATTGTACCTTGGTAGTGTCAACGTTGTGTATTTTCAACTCTTTGCTGGCAATTTCTTTTCTGAAAGACATGCTGTCAGTTTATCAGAGTGCATGCTCAAAACAATTAGTAATTTAAAAGTGAAAATAGAAATGCTCCCAAAGGAGCCATTTGTTGGTTGGAGGGCTCTGTGTTGGACATCTGTCAAATGATTGACAGACAGACAGACAGACAGACAACCTTTACTTAAGTACGATTAGAATTAAAACAAATGACTGTCTGATGTCAGATGACTTTCTGTTGGTTAATTGACTGTTGGTTGTTTGTTGGGGCAACAGGTAACAATTTTCCTGGTTTTACATGTATGTGTCAGCCGATTGTTAGTCAAGGGTTGGCTCACAGTCCACCAGCTTTCCATCAGTAAAGTGTTGGTACAGTAAGTTGTTGATTAAAATAATTTTAAACATTCACTTTGACAACAGTGTTGGAAGGGAAAATTCATTGGGAATGGATCCACTACTAACAGTTACTATGACTGTATGCCAACCTTGGTGCAAATGCTTGCAAAACTATCATGATAATGGGCAGTTAATGATGATCTCAATCCTCTGGTCTGATGGTCTCTCATAATTATATTCATTATTATGTAATACATGTGAGCCCACATGGTGATTGCCCAAATGATAACAACAGAGCTGTGGAATGAACACTGGTTGAAGGTGGCCCTTTATTTAAAACAATCAGATTCAAGAACTCTACCAGGTTGTGTCAGATGTTCCCTCTAAATTAGTAGCACATGTACTTTGGCCAACAATTGACATTCAGTTGACAGGTTACTGACAGCTTAGCATCATGGTAGCCATTCTTCACAATTACCAGATGAAGGTTAAGGTTAAAAGTGAAAGTGGTGTGTGTATGTCCAAAGAAAAGATTTTGCATTAAATGGTATTTTAAGTGTGGCAAGAATTTCAATTTGTGTATTTTTTATTTTTGCAGATTACTGCCCAATGTGTATGTTTCTTATCAAACACTTGCCTCCTTACCCCTGGCATCTACACCAGTTGTCAAGTCTTCATGTAATCCGAAATGGGAATATCAGAAGCTGGAGAGGATCAGTTACACTTCACTTAAATCACAGGTGAAGTGTTATCTAGTATACAATAAAAACATAGTAGTGTATAACCTCATTTTCTGCCCCTAACAGTAACCTTGCTTATCTTACTTTTGTTCTCACAATTCAAACAGACTATATCAAACTAGGGGTCATGTGCTTAACTCAAGGTTAATTTGCAAGAATGCCACTCAAATATGGCAAACAAAAATTTCATATAAACCTAATATTGTATAACATGTTGAGAATTCCAGTGTGCTCATGTTTGCTGACAAGCTGCTGCCAATTAATCAAAGAGTGGCTGATGAGTTGAACTCAGCATATCCAGATAGTGATAGTACGGTGGGCTTGAACCCAGGACACCCTTGCATCAGCATTCCTGCAAACTATTGCACCAAGTGAGAGAAACATATATACATGTATAATGAGATTATTTCTTTGTTAAGAGCCTGATATGGCTTTTATTCATAGATAATTACAGTTGAACCTCCTGTAAACAACCACCCAAAGCCTAGGTGGTCACTTACAAGAGCTTAGACCATATTGGGTCAAACTTTGGCCTCATTAGCATATGATAACTGCAGAGAGGTTACCCCATGTTTTAAATGTTTTATTCTTGTGAAGTCAATTTCGAGAAAAGTCTGGTACTTCCCATTGAGTAATTTACGTTTCTTGTACTACCCAGGAATTCGAGAATGTTACAACACCTTATTTTTCAATTTCCGGTCTATTATCTAATTAAGTGGTCGCTTACGGGAAGTTAAAAACAAAGGAAAATTTCAAACTTCTAGCTCTAAAAGTGGTCGCGGTCACTTACAAGAGGTTCCAAATATAGTGACTTGACTTGGAAACGCTTCGTATTTTGGAAAACTGGTCACCGAAGAGAGGTGGTTGCTTATGAGAGGTGGTCGCAACTGGAGGTTCAACTGTAATACAGTATGATATCAAGGCTGCTTTGTAACGGGCACCCGGGCGCCTGAGGCCCCTAAGTTCCAAGTGAGGGTGACTAAAGTTTTGTTCAATGAGCCCGAGTGGGCGCCTAAATGTGGAGTTTACATTCCCATCTAATCTGTCCAATGACTTCAATCTTCTCGTGAAATCAGTCAAAAAATCATTCACACAATAAATTAAACGGAAAACAACAGCTACTCTGGTCCTCTTTTGCTTTTATCATGAGAAATATGGGCCAAAACATGGCAAGAAAGTCTCTCTCTGCTCATAAACAGCATATTTGAAAGTCCTGCTATAATGCATTGCAAGTTTAGTATTGAATAAATGCACATCATGTATGCCAATGGATTTTGTCTCTGTTGATACCTTACTGATTCCAGTTGCAAAATAACTACTTTGATAACAAATATTTTTGGAATTGGAGAGATGATGCTGCTGACATTATATTTAAATTGAATAAAGATAAATGTGTCTAAATTCTCAGGCTTTTTTTGCCCGATACTTTGGAAAACTTCATGTGCTGAATGAATTTTTTTAGTTTCTGAAAGAATATTTATGACTAAAGTCAAAATATTCATGTAACTAGCCAGCAAAAAGAAAACATCATTTCAATTCTTTTTGCATACTAGGGTTTTATATTTTAAATTATCAAACAAATTGTCGTGACTCCACCCAATATACCAGAATATATTTTCTCCAAAGAAGCAACCTATATAATGCGGTAATGCTGCCTCAAAATCACATTTAGTTTATACTCATGTCCCAAGCCCTTGAAAGGAAAGCACATATTTTCAGTGAGGCCACATTCAAACCCCTACAATGTCTCTTTCATTTTTATTTGTTTTCATTTGCAGCTTGCATTTCATGTTTTGTACAATGTATTTTGTTTTGTTAAAATAGAAGAGCAAAACTTAAAAACAGAAGCAGCAACATATTTTTTTGTGTGTGGAGAGCATGCGCGGGCTGGCCAACGACAGCCACATTTTCTCGTGAAGAAAGGCGTCTTCCCTCAAAACTCTTCAGAATCAGTCGAAAAAGCCCAGCAACAGCATGAAGGTGGTGTAAAAGATATGCCCTTTAAAAGGACAGGTGATAAAAACAAGCGAGGGGAAAGAGGGTCCACCGACGACGAAATTGCAGATCCTAAATGTGTCAACATTGCGTCTGCAGACTTTCAGCCTGCAGATGCAGTGGAGCGGGAAGATAACCAGCCCAACCTCTCAGATATCCATGCAATACTCAAAGATCTTCTAAAATCAATGGACAGACTTTCTAATGAAGTTGCGGAGCTAAAAACCTCGTTCAAGCAACATGAATCTGAGCTAAGAACTGCCAAAGAATCACTAAACGCAGCGCTTAAGTACAACAACAAACTCAAATTGGAATTGAAAGCGACTAAACAACGGGTGAAAGAGCAGGAAGAAGAAATCGACGAACTCTACGAAAATATGGACACGCTCGAACAGTATACAAGAAAAAATTCCCTCGAGATTGAGGGCATTCCTGAAAATGTTTGCAACGAC